GATTAATCTCTTGATACAAGGCATGTTTTCATGGGGTTGTAGCAAAGGTCTTTCATGAATTCTAAGACAGCCCAATTGCTGATGTTGCCAATTGTATTGAACCAAAGCTATTAGACAGGGTACAATTACACCTTTTTTCCAAGATATTTATTATATACTATAAGACACAACTGACAAATGAAGTATTTCAGAAAAATGTTTACCCTAAAATTATCAGTGACTTATTGCTATGACTAAAATTATCAAATTTCATAAATCATGAACTAATGTAACTGCAAATGTAAAAAAATAGGTGAACGCAACCTAGTACAGACTGTTATTTGCCTTTAGACTCGTAAGTCTGGGTTTTTTTACATTTATATATCAGATTCCTAATGAATTTGTTACTTTATACATGTCCTTCAGGACTTCCTATTATTTTTCATATTTCAAGATCACTGGATATTATTGCTCATGACTGGTATCCCCCCCCCGCCCCCCGCCTTTACCCCCTTCTTCCAGACAATGAGAAATAAACATCCCAAAAAATAAATAAATGTGAAATTATTAAACTCACACACAAAGGTTTCAAGATACTGTGTATAATTTCATTCACAACTGTATTTTAAACTACATACATACGAAAACCAACCTGTCACTGTCAAAATATTCTGCTTTGATAACTACATGTTTACACATGAAGAATTTCGTTTCTATAGATGTCCCTTTCATATACAAGCACAACACAATACTGAGTATGTATCCTTCCATGAAAGTACAATAAAATACCAAGTGATATTCTTTGGTCAATACGTAAAAATTACTTATAATCATTATTAATCAACAATGTTTATTTAACGTCGCACACAAGCAGCTGCATGGAGAATGTAGAATTCATAGTTTTAATATATACCCACTTTAGATCTCACTAGAAAAGTTTTATTTATCGTAAAATAATAAAACCCGAAAACTTCGCGCTGCCATGTTTGACAAAATCAATCGGCTCCGCTTCCCCCAGATTGAAAACTAAATTATTACGAAATGTCCAATATTTTTGGACACACGTGACCAGTGTTTACCAGGGCCTTTGCTTCCCGTACCAGAGCCTCTGAACCGCGCAAAGGCCCTGGGTACGAGGTTGGTTTAAGACATGTGTAATGCATGCCCCTTATATAACTGTTTACAATATTTGTCCATGAATATTGAGCTTTATATGTGAATCAGGTTAAATACAATAATTAGTTAATTAACCTAGCTTTATATAAAATGTACAAACATGTTCTAATAATTGTATTTTGCTTCATACAATGCATATGTGTGTGGAAACATTATGCACCTATCAATGTTAGGCCGGTGGGGGGGGGGGGGGGCGGGGCAAGGGGGCGTGATTTGACATTCAAACAAAATTTTGTGTCAAATTCCCTACCCCAGGGATTCAAGTGCTAGTCAAATCGATCGTACACAGGGGCAATTAAAACTGTTTCAAAGAGATTTCTCAAACTGAATAATTCATAAAGGAAGTATATTAAGTCTGTTTTTTTTTTAAATCATAGGAAGATTACAGACATTTTTTGCCAAAATTTATTCTAGATTTTCTTTTGAAGTATGGATTTGTTTGAGAAGGCATATCCAACAATTGCAAATGTTTTTCCTATGATTTCTAAATATGGACAATTGCCTCAACCTGCTTGTCCGTATATCGGAGGGAAAACACTTGTTCATGTTGAATATATTACGTGAAACATAAATACAATTTAATTTTTGAAATAATTTAAACAAAGTGGTTAATATCATAATATCCACATCTTGACAAATAAATGTTCGTATTCTATTATTTATATTGCCTTAAGAGAAGTGCAATACAAGACCAAAAAAGTTTCATTTGTGATGAATATTAAAAAGAGAAAAATCAACAGTTTATATCAGTTTCAGTAGTCCACACCATATTCCAGAACTGACGACACGTGATTTGGTGGCAAAATTTATCTCAGATGTTCCGGAGATCCTACTGCGTCCCTGCTCATTATATATGCAAATGACAACAATTTTTAATATTTGTCAAATACCCCTGCCCCCGGGACTGCACTGATTGTCAAATTCCCCACTCACGAGATATACTTTCCCATCAAATCCCACCCCTTGCCCAGCCTCCCCCGCCCCTCCCCCCGCCGGCCTAACATTGATAGGTGCATTACATTATTATTCAGCTCACTCCCCATTGGGGCTTTTCAGTGACCGATTACATCAAGTATTATGATTACTTATGATAGCCTACACTATTTATCTTTACAACAATGAGAATATGATATTACTTTCCTAACTGTGTTTATCCTAACCCACCCTGCCAATTTTGCCCTGTGGGAGGAAACCGGAGCAAAATATAAAATTCAATTACTTTGAGAACACCTAAATTGCAATCCCTAAATTTAAAATGTTTTCTTAAATCGCCTAAAATCGCATTAAATCGCAGTGCTTGAAAGTCCCAGTTTTTCCTTAAATCGCCTAAAATCGCCCAAAATCGCATTATATGTTTATATCGCAGCGATTTAAGGTGATTTACCGCCCCAGAGTAGGCCTATTAGTCGAGCTGAGTGTTTAACGCACGCACACACAACTCGTTAGCATAGTATCTAGCGCTCCGCTCAGATACAAAAACATTAGTAGTATGGCAAAAAAAGAGCCTGTGCTAGAAATATTTTTTAAGAAATAATCTCGGCCGGATGCAGCGAAACGTGACTATGTAAGTCTATAATACAATTTACAAAGATTTTCTTACTTTTAAATAATTATGCTGTTTGAGTTTGAATCATTTGTTCTAGTTTAAGTTATGTGCCATTATGAGTTTATGATCATTTCTCAAGTTTGTTTATGCCAAATTGCTTACAAAAGAACTCTTGACAAAATGCAGTTGAATTTTAAAGAAAGCGATTTTGTAATGCATCACACTCGATTCGTTTAGTTTGACAACTCAAACCCGATTGGATAACGAACATCAACAAGCATTTCAATTTTTTTCCACTGGGAGGGGCAGTGTCAGTGCAAATTTATTTAATTTAAATTAAATTCTATAAATTAAAAAAAAAATTTGCACTCGTTTTCCCCCGACAACGTGTTTTGATTCAAATTCCCACTTCCCCCCTCCCAGTGGAGAAAAATTTGAAATGTTTGTTGATATTCGTTGTCCAATCAGGTTTGAGTATATTTTGAGTTGTTGAACGACTTCCCGTTTTTGTCAAGCAAATTTGCACGCGGATATATTTTGGCTGAATTTTGTCGATATTCCCTCTCGGATTCTAGAGCGAATTTAAGCTCTTTGATTAAAGCATTGTTGTTTTGAGAGTTATACGAAATCATTCTTGCAGGGAATATCGATTAGTATAGGCAATAGTATGGTTTCAAATGCAATTTGCCGGATATAACATGCATGAGTGAGTTTTTCAAAGACCTCAAAATAGCACGAGTCTGAAGGGCGAGTGTTATTTGAGGTCTTTGAAAAACTCTCACGAATGCATGTTTATCCAAATTTCACGAGAAACCATGCTATTATTTATTAATAATTTACATAAAAGTGTTCGAGATAATTGTAGTTTTAACGTACGCGTTTATAGCGAACATTCCACTGGTAAAGTTTTCCTTTCCTTGTCATATCACATTCGGCCCAATGCTCTGGCCAGGTCGGTTCGAGTATGTGATATTTCAGAACTGAATCTAGTTCCTTCTATATCAATGCAATCTAGTAATCATGATTTTTTCTGTGTGGTGTAATGTACTCGGGTGAATATGATGCTTGTGATGTTACTCTGAGTGTATATCCACACCGGGCAAGCTTGAGAAATACGCCTGGCCACGGTGGAAATCGAACCAACAACCTTTGGAATACTAGCCCAATGCTCTGCCAATTGAGCTACGTGGCCATATCGGTTCGAGTATGTGATATTTCGGAACTGAATCTAGTTCCTTTTATATCCATGCAATCTAGTAATCATCATTTTTTCTGTGTTGGTGTAATGTACTCAGGTGAATAAGATGTTTGTGTGATGTTACTCTGAGTGTATATCCACACCGGGCAAGCTTGAGAAATACGCCTGGCAAAGGTGGGAATCGAACCAACAACCTTTGTTGGTGTAATGTACTCAGGTGAATTTGATATTATTCCAAAGGTCGTAGGTATAGTATTCCAAAGGTCGTAGGTTCGATTCCCCCACCGTGGCCATGAAGCTTGCCCGGTGTGGCTATGCACTCAGAGTAACATCACAAGCATCATATTCACACCAACACAGTAAAATCGTACAAGTACATCACACCAACACAGAAAAAATCATAAAAGGCATTGTCTATAAGTTTCAATGCCCAGGTTGTTCCTTTCGCATAAGTTGAAAATGAGATTTTATTTCAACAGAAATTGCATTATGAAAAAAGAGCATAACTTTGTAAAAAAGTAATTTAATAATTGCACAAATCACGTAGCCTTGCTATAATCATATTATGGTAATCAGATGATGAATTTACTTCATTTTTTAATGATCATTAACTCATCTATACCAAGCATTGGTAATTAAATATTAACAAGCAACTAAACTTTGTCTCAATAAATATCAAACTGATTCAAATATGACGAGAAAATATTAATAATCTAACTGATTTTTGTAGAGCAGAAAAAATAATTATCCGATTATTCACATATTTTGTCAAATAATCATGATTTTAAATCCTTTACATGCTGCAAAAATTACGATGACCTAAAACGATAATTTCACGAGTAAGCGATAAATTTCTAGTTTGGATCTTGATTATTTAGCCGTCAGGAAACTTCTTATATTGTTTCCGTGCTTTAGGAGTATATTGCCCACTTACAAAATGTGAATACAAAGCCATAAACATGTACTGTACTTCGCTGTCCGAATAATAAGATGAAAAACTTATAGTTATACCCAGTTCAGTTTTATTTCTATATAGATGGTATCAAGCATGATGTTATGCACCAATTTGCGTGAAATTCGGCCGAAAATTATATCTTATAGCATCTCACTCGCCAGCTGTTCTCAGTTTTGATTTGTCTTTGATTCGTTTAACAGCTACAGCCCTGAGATTACAAGGTCCATTAAGTGCAAACGGCACTGGTCGTGTGGAAATATTCTACGATGGGAAATGGGGAACAATCTGTCATAATTATTGGAATGCAGCTAATGCCAGGGTTGTATGTCGTCAACTTGGTTATACATACGCTGTTAAAGCTCTTAAAGGAGACGACGTTCCTGATGGTACTGGACATATATGGTTAGATAATGTCAGATGTACTGGGAGTGAACTAAATCTAACCAGTTGTTCTCATAACGGATGGGGAAATGAAAATTGCGAGCACGATAATGATGCAGGAGTAGAATGTTCTTCAACAGGTATTTCACTTTTTTGTTTCAGTTTAACCGGTACAACAAAATTCACCATTATGAAAAAGATAACGCGCAAGTTATATGCCAGTTTTGTGGGAAATTTTTTGATATTCCGTAATGTTATTTAGATAAAAAAAATAATATAATAGTAGTAATGATAAAAAAATAATAGTAATGTTATTGGAGTTAAATGATGGAGAAATATTGTAGATTCGAAGTGTTGCGGGTTTAGCTGTTCAAAATGAACTAAATAAATCCTTTTGAAACATATGTATCAAATCCATGATTGGCCCATGAGCCTTGTTCTGATGAACAAGCCTTGTTCTCATGAGCCTTGTTCTCATGAGATTGAATACTTCCATGATATGAGCCTTGTTCTCGTGAGCCTTGTTCTTATGAGATTGAATACTTCCATGCCAAGGAAGTATTTTCGACAAAATTATTGAACAGGTGCATTGGGAGATGACACCTGAAGGGGTAATAGTGAAAGGAGTAAGTGTTGAGGGATCATTGAATACATTTCATTAGTACTAAGTAGTCAGGACAGTAAGCAACTTCGGTATAGCAATTACATTCCGCAACTTTAATTTGACCAGTATTAGTATTCACATTGTAGCAACGCTCCACGCGTATTCTGGAAAATCGCTTTCAACCAAATCTAACATATTGATCAAGAACTTTTTTTAGCTTTTCATCATCTTTCCAGTTGGTATTCGCCATTACGAACAGTGCTTCCACAACTGCCTTTTTTAAAGAAAATTTCCTTCCCGAAATTGCTAAACTACCATGCTGAAAACACAAAATAAATACGTCACGCTTTTTCTGGTATCGTATAGGTATACAGACAAACGTTCTCAGTATATACTTATACTCTCGTCAGTTTCTCAACAGTCTGTCGATATAAATTGTCTAAATATAGGCTAGTAAAGTAATTGATAAGCATCTACTTTTTCACAAAATATACGACAATTTTAAAATACCCTTGCATGCTTCATCCATCATGAACACTGTTTTCCCTTCCCATTCCCTTATGAGTTTTATTTTCTTTGATTTCTTTGCATTTCTCCTTGTAATTTTCAGAAAAAAATCCCTGCGCAACGGTCCTTCCACTTTCCAATTTAAATTTCTATTTCTGGTTGTAATTTCATAAAAACGCTTTACCTCATTTGTTTTGGTAATCATCGCATGATTACTTGTTTATTATTAGCATGACAAAATTGGATACTTCTCCATGCAATGTCAACATCATATTTTTTCGCCAAAGCCCAGTCCTGGCTGTCCTGCAAGACTTTCAACCAACATTTGGTGCTTTTGTTCGTACTTTTATTTAGAGTAAAATTTAGTTATTTTGCTAATGCAAAATTTGATGCTTTTGTTCCTATTTTCATACAGTTCCTCTAGGGCAATTTCATTTCACAGTTGTTTAAAATACCTTCCGCCATTTTGTTTTTTGTGTAAGAAAATCATTAATTGTACTGCTGTACAATTAATGAAATAATTGTACTCCTCTCAACCAATCAGCATGCAGTAATTTTGTCATGCTAATAATAATAATAGAAACAATTTATTAGCAATATTTAGGTATTAAATATACAGTTAAATTTACATTCTAAGATTATAATTAAAAACGATTTTAAAGTTAGATTTAATATTTAAAATTTAATTACAATGCAAAATAATTAAATTAACTTCTGCAAAAAATCCATGATAACGCTGGACCACCATATTGCAGATTAAAACGTAGCGAAAGCTATCACAATTCTCTAGGGTATTGTTAACCTCCCAAAACGCAGTTTAAATGGCGCTTTGACGAATGATCAACATTTCTCAGTAAGACAATAATGAAATGCAACACTTTTCTAGGATTTTCAAACACCATCTTCCCTGTGAAGGTTTCCAGACAGTTATAAACTCTTGAAACGCGCTACCGCTTTGTTTTTCTTGTCGAACATAGAATATATTTTTACACAGGAAAATTCCTCGATAACAAATTGGGACGAATAACACGAAGAAGCACTGCATGATATTTGCCAAACATGCAGCTACACTTTGATTTAAACTTAGACGTCTCCCGGCCGAAAAACGTCTTTGATTTTTGCAATGATTTCTTGTTTATATATTTCAACATTGTGAATCAAATTTCCTAACTATGGTTATCTTTAACTACGTTATTATACAACCGGCCCCTGTAGTCAAATCCTTAACTGTGATTAGATAACTACATACATGAATTAACTGCGTTGCCCCAAAACAGTATATTACAAAATTTTAAATAGCGTATACAGGTGTATTAATCTGCTAAACAATTCCACAGGACAGACCGACTCTAAATTAATTGATAATTGTGATTTTGGTTGACCCAAGCTAAAGGGTTTCAAATTAAAATAGCTTGTTTGAATATAGCAAGCTTACCAAAACATATTGGTCAACTCCGGTCTGATATGAACTAGGGATCCAAGGATAGTGTGAAGTTTCAAATTGAAAAAGACACTGCCAGAACTATATAAGGTCGCTGACAACCTAGAAAAGCTGATGGCTTACACTACGAAATAAACAATTACCAACGGCATTTCATCTCATTATCTATTGCTTTTAATGCGCTCGGCAAACGAGTAGCGTGACGTTTGAAACACGCCTACACATCAGAAACGTGCTTTGTGAAACTTATATATACAATTTATCTATTTACTATATTGTGATGCTATACGCGACAATTCAAAATTTCAATTGCAGCTGTCTCTAAAAGCATCCCCACGAAGCAACTGCAATGCTAAACTTATCTAAAACTATAATTGAAATAGCTGTATACGATATGTTATAAATAATAAGCACTACGTCGTTACATCATTGAAAGGAATTGCATTTTATCTTCATCCGTTCCGTATTTTTTTTTCGCATTTCCGTTCCGTGGTCCGTTCCATCCGCTTCCGCATTTTAACCAATTGTGACATGTTTTACAATGAACCGCATTGACCTTTGACTTTCCCCAGTGTCACGTTTGTCTATTTTTAGCTTTTCGCATATGTTTTGAATAATGTCACTTTAGATTTCAATAGTTTCACAGTTATAGCTTTGTTTAAAGCAGTTTTGACAAGCTTTGATACAGTTCCTCTGATACAGTTCTGTGTACAGAATACTACAGATTGATTCTCGTAATATCTGGTAGAGTTATCGTTGCACTGAACACGAATTTGCACCGTTGACAACGGCGTTGTGCTAGACAGTATTAAAACAAGGTCCGTGACAGTACGCGTTGGCTACATGTACCTCCTTGCTTTTTTCTTCCATTGCATAAAGCTTGTTGGTGAGCCAAGCGATTGGCGATAACACGTTGGCGATAACACATTGGCTATCTCCTCGTCTTTCTTATTAAAATGAGAAACTCTGACTCAAATGATTTCCTTCGTTTCGCAATATTTTCTTCATAAACGCCTGTACGAACGCCCGCTTCTGTTTAATTATGCTTTATTGATCTGATGCAGGTCTGATCCAACTTTTTGCTCTTTGTACTAAGTGTACTCATCTATTCTGTGATGTGGCACCTTATACAGGCAAATAACAGTGTATAATGAATGCACGGTTTAAATAATATCGTATATGGATGGGCATTTAATTGAACGCCGGTAGTCATAACATCAATTTATATATCATATTATTGCATAGAATCTCAAACATTTTCTCAATATTCATGTCTGAAATGTTTATATATTTGAAAACAACACTGTCTCGCTTCTTCGTACATACTGTACCTCTGTATAATGAGTATACCGTGAAAATACTATCAGCACTCAATAGACACTTCCCGAATTTGCTTGAGTGCACACGAAACAATAGCTTGGAATCGAGGCGGACAATGTAATCATGTAGTTATTTACAATGATTACATTGTCCGCCTCGATTCCAAGCTATTGTTTCGTGTGCACTCAAGCAAATTCGGGAAGTGTCTATTGAATGCCTAGAATCTCAAAGATTTTCAGCTCAATATTTACGTCTGAAATGTTTATACACTTGAGTCTTAAATGCACTGTCTAGGCGGTCTAGCTCCTTCCTAGCTCTGTATAACGAATATACTGTCTAAATATTATCGGCACTTAATTGAACGACCGTAATGCATAAGATCAATTTATATATTGCGTAGATTTTCAAAGATTTACTCAATATTCACGTCTGAAATGTCAATACATCTGAAAACAACACTGTCACTCCTTCCTAGCATATCGTCACGCCATCGTGATCTATGGCTTGATAGCGCATGCGCATTTGCGCTACTAAAGAAAAACTCGGGTGTTCCGGGGTAAAGATCGTTGACACAACATGAGAAGCAAATGTTCTAAAATTTACAAAGAATTACAATAACGAAAGCGATTGCTCGAAATTTTTGTGAACTTGGTAAAAGGATAACAGAATATGTAAATATGTTAAACTGAAATTGCCTAAATAACCTTCAAAGTACTGACTAAGCAGAATAAATCACTACGAACATAAATCATATACACCCCCCGGAAAGTTTACTCTATGACTGACTGAATGACTGAATGACTGACTGACTGACTGACTGACTGACTGACTGACTGACTGACTGACTGACTGACTGACTGACTGACTGACTGACTGGCTGACTGACTGACTGACTGACTGACTGACTGACTGACTGACTGACTGACTGACTGACTGACTGACTGACTGACTGACTGACTGACTGACTGACTGACAGACTGAGTGACTGACTGACTGACTGACTGA